GAACGCTATGTCGGGACAATCCTAGGAAAGAAAAAAAAATTGGAAACGGTCAAAAAGTGCCCCACACGTTGAAAATACGGCTCCGTATAAAAAAAAATAAAGACTTACTTCCAACGAACACTTGATTTGGTTGATGACGGCGTCTTTCTTCACGACGTGGATATTTCGGTTGATGATGGACTCGTTGCTGGGCTTGGACAGTTGCTCTTCGATCCACTGGACCACCACCTCGTTTTTGTCCCATTTGTAGCTCTGATTATTGCGAAAAAAGAAAACACGTTACATAAATAAACCAGGGTGTTAGAAATTTGACTGCCTCAATTTTAACAGACGATCAAATACATTCAAATAAACAAAAACCCCTTATATGACATGGGTCCCTAAACTCAACCATTCCGAGAAAAGAATTATCAAAATCTCCAACTAGATGTACAAAAGTCCGATTAATTAAGGAATATCGACATAACTGCGTGCATAACATGTTTATCGATTTTTTAACTTCTTTCATTCGTAATTACTAAAATTCGAGCTAAAATTTAAGCACAGCACTATCTTCGTACTACAAAACCGATACATTTTATTTATTTAAAAACTGGAAAAGGATCTTCTTGAAATTTATTAAATGTTTGTACAATAATAGTTGTTTACATTTTTTCCGTAGGACAAGTCTGCCGCGTGCACACGTGATACGCACCAGCTGTGTAGCATTAGGTTAAGCGCTGTTGTCACGTTGTGATGAAGCTCCCCAATATTAATACTCGCCGTATTTTGAAAACTGTTAATCTTACGCCCCTGTAATATACGACTTTTTTTTTCATTTGTGATTACACTATCTTATCTCATGCTGAAGTAACGGCAGTCGAACTTCTTCATTTGACCAATAACATATTTTAATTAATTATGTCCCCGAACAATTTTATTATATCGACGGTAAATTTCGTTTTGTTCCGTTTCAAAAGGTCTCCAAAATGCCATGTTGTAATAATATTTATTGGTACACAAAATATCCCTCTTTTTCCTCCCTTTCGCAATTGTAATATCAATGATTGATAGAAGGTGCCTATAATAAATTAAAATTGCCTGAATCGCACCAAATTCCGCATTGCTTCACTGCACTGATAGGCAATTTGTCGACAACTGAAATTTATGGCCGATCGCCCAGTCCCGCTGCGTTTGTTCGTCGTTTGCCCGCGCGCGCATTCTCCAACTTTTAATCATTTGAGTGATCACATTAAGCACGCTAAACGTTTAAAAGTTTTTAAAAATGTGCTAAAAGGCTTTTTACTCGAAAGTTGTTATTATACTTGAGACAAATTTTTTATGGTTTAGTTTGTAAGGCAAAATTATTTTGACAATTCCTATACAAATTTGTATTTTGTCTTAGAGGAAATAAAATTATTATTATTATTAAGAGCCTTTGATTTTATTTTTTTTTCGGGTTGTTTTATAAGTAACACGTATAATTCGTATAACACGTATATGGTGTTATATAACTGTATAGTTTTTTTTAAGAAGAAAATACATTGTTATATTAACCACTTGAGGAATCTTTTGTAAGAATCGTTCGTATTTAATTAATTATATTTTTTTAGGACTTATTCTGTAATTTTATTAGATAATTCCGAAATTCTATTCCAAACGCTGACTTTGATGGATTATCGGAAGTACTTAGTTTAGACTGATATATTTTTTTGTATATTGCACTGAAGAATTATGTAGGTATTTTATATTATTGCACAATCATTAGATTATCAAAAATACAGATTTTTCTCTTTTAGGGATATTAAACATTTTCGTATTTTCGTAACTATAGTACAAAATAAAAATAATGTTAGTTTCAGTTTTTAATCTTATAAAATCGTGTGCCATAGCCATTATTTTAATCTAGCCCTGGAAATGGTAAAATAGTATACAGTGCTGTCTCTAACTAATAATAATAAATATATTCCAGAATGTTCAGACACGTAGCTGTTATTGTTTTTCTGGGCTATGCTCTGGCTTTTCCTGAAGCCAGCGGAAGGTCGAGAAGGAGTACGACTGAAAACCCCTTAGTAACTACCCCTTTAGGTCAAATAAAGGGTACGGTTATGACTTCTAGGCTAGGCAAACCTATATACGCATTTAGGGGCATACGCTACGCGAAAGCGCCAGTAAATGAGCTGAGATTTAAGGTGAGATCATTTAATATGCACATATACCATTCACTGTCTGCTTGTAATGAGTATTATCTGATTGCAATGTTAATTTGCTCATAAATAGACCAAGGGCGTGAAGTCTTCCCACTCAACGCTAAGGCGCTAAGGGTGCGTTTACGTGGAGTGTTACAATCTTAAGATTACGAGATTAAGCTCTAGAGAGGCAGGTTTGAATCAACGTAATGCGCATTTTGTTTTATTTTTGGACTTTTTTAATTAAATCTAAATAAAGAATTGACAATTTGATAATCTTAAAAGAGTGGCAGATCTTTCCCATCCCAACCTATTTTTCTGTTTTTATGAACATTTTTAGAACATTTTGTTGTAGAAATTAGAAAATTTTTCATTTGTTTCGTAGCCTTAAGTAATCCGAGGGTGCCTAAGATAGACCCAGAAACTGGTAGTCAAATAATTAACCATAAATAAAAAAAGTGTTGTGATACTCTGTTTTCAAAAACCAGTATTACGTTACTTTTTCATTGTGAGCATCCAAGTGGGTCGGTCACCTTATATTATCAGGTCATTTTTAGATTGGAAAAAATCAATTTTATTTATTATTCTTAGNAATTCCGAAATTCTATTCCAAACGCTGACTTTGATGGATTATCGGAAGTACTTAGTTTAGACTGATATATTTTTTTGTATATTGCACTGAAGAATTATGTAGGTATTTTATATTATTGCACAATCATTAGATTATCAAAAATACAGATTTTTCTCTTTTAGGGATATTAAACATTTTCGTATTTTCGTAACTATAGTACAAAATAAAAATAATGTTAGTTTCAGTTTTTAATCTTATAAAATCGTGTGCCATAGCCATTATTTTAATCTAGCCCTGGAAATGGTAAAATAGTATACAGTGCTGTCTCTAACTAATAATAATAAATATATTCCAGAATGTTCAGACACGTAGCTGTAATCGTTTTTCTGGGTTATGCTCTGGCTTTTCCTGAAGCCAGCGAAAGGTCGAGAAGGAGTACGACTGAAAACCCCTTAGTAACTACCCCTTTAGGTCAAATAAAGGGTACGGTTATGACTTCAAGGCTAGGCAAACCTATATATGCATTTAGGGGCATACGCTACGCGAAAGCGCCAGTAAATGAGCTGAGATTTAAGGTGAGATCATTTAATATGTACATATACCATTCACTGTCTGCTTGTAATGAGTATTATCTGATTGCAAATTGAATTTGCTCATAAATAGACCAAGGGCGTGAAGTCTTCCCACTCAACGCTAAGGCGCTAAGGGTGCGTTTACTTGGGGTGTTACAATCTTAAGATTATGAGATCAAGCTCTAGAGCGGGCAGGTTTGAATCAACTACTAGCCTTAAGTAACCCTAGGGTGCCTAAGATAGACCCAGAAACTGGTAGTCAAATAATTAACCATAAATAAAAAAAGTGTTGTGAGGAATTTGATACTCTGTTTTCAAAAACCAGTATTACGTTCCTTTTTCATTATGAGCATCCAAGTGGGTAGGCCATCTTGTATTGTCTGGTCATTTTTAGATTGGAAAAATGAATTCAATTTCAATTTTATTTATTATTCTTAGCCTCCAGAGCCGGTAGAGAAATGGGAGGGCGTCTATAATGCCACTGAAGATGGTCCACTTTGTCCACAACCTACCACGGATCCTGTATCAGAAGACTGTTTAATATTAAATGTTTATTCCACCAAGGTTAGTATTTAACATGAACCTTCGGAGGCGTTATAGTAAACATTGTTACAACTTTTACAGCTTCCGAAGAGTGCTGAAAATCCGAAACGCTCTGTAATAGTCTACATACACGCTGGAGGGTTTTACAGTGTCGGTTCTACCAGTTATTGGGCTGGACCCAATTATTTTATGGACCAAGATATCGTCTTAGTGACCATCAATTACCGCTTGGGAACTTTAGGTAATATCACTCTTATAAATCTTTAACTAATATCTTTTTTCACGTGACGAAAAATATTATTTAAAAAATGTAGATCCCGATGTATTAAAGGGTATGTGTATTTAACATATTAGGTTTCTTGAGTACCGGCGACAAAGAAGCCCCAGGGAATAACGGCTTGAAAGATCAAGTCCAGGCATTGAAATGGGTGAAACAAAACATCGAGGCTTTCGGAGGGGACCCAGATTGTGTCACAATCATGGGTTATAGTGCTGGTGCGATGAGCGTTATCTTGCATATGGTTTCACCGATGTCCCAAGGTAAGTTCATAGTTTTGTATAATGAGAAATCTTCATTAGAAACCTTGTTTTAGATATTACTTACGTTAGTATGTCGTCTCTCTCTATTAACATTTATTTATTAATTATAAATTCTAATTAATTACATTCGTGGCATAGTAAATTTATTTGTCTAACTACCAAACAAGATTGATGTTATAATTTTTTTTAAATCATACTTCATAATTAAAATAAAATTGTATACTTAGTACGTATTGCTGTAGTAATAATCATTGCAATATTTATAGATCTGGCCCAGATAAACCTACTTATAAGTTATACGTCATATTTCATATTAGGTATTATAAATGTTATTGCAACTCAATGCCTACTGGCACAAACTATTACTTTCTACTTACTGGAAAAGAACGAACTACAAATATCTAATTCAGTGCTAGATGTAGACATTTAGCTCTCAGAGTAGTAGTTTCCCACAATATCATTAGTTAAAAATTTATAGATCTATTCCACAAAGCTGTTGCAATGAGTGGATCCCCTCTAGGCAATTGGCCTATTCTACACAATCAACTGGATCTGGCCAAAAAACAGGCTAAATTTGTAGGATGTCCAGATGACACCGCTATCAATATCGTAAAATGCCTCAAGACTAAGCCATTCAACGAACTGGGCGAATCTCTACCTAAATTTAAGGTAAAATTGATAGGCTTCTGTAAAAACTAAACATTATCTTTGTTTCAATTTTATCAAAATTTGATTGAAAATTAACCGCTAAAATGATATTGAAGGTTGTAGAGGATCTGCAACTTCAAGTGTGTAAGTTATAAAGGAATCTGTCTAAATACCGAGCCTTTTACAAAGACAGAATATATTTTAACTTAATTAATACTTATTTGTGTTCTTATAGGAATTCGCAAATGACCCCTTCATGATATGGTCTGCTGTAATTGAACCTGACTTTGGCCAACCACGATTTTTGACGGCTCATCCCATCTATCTCATACAGAATGGTCAATTCAAAAGAGTGCCGCTTATCACTGGATTAACAGCGGATGAATTTGGACCCAAGGCGTTCGGTAAGTATATCTGTGTTTTTTTTTCAGGGTTTATATGGGGCGTAACTATGAATGAGGGTAATATTTATATAGAGGCTACCTTTGACCTTGAGGAAGGCATATCATAAGTTTGTTTTCTCAAATTTTGTTGTGTAACTGATTTTTTTTCAATAATCTGTTTCTTTTCTGTAATTTTCATACCCATACATTGATGCCGAATCTGATAATTTTACAATGAAGATACAAACACACCACACTGCCATGGTTGTTAATTAACTTTAATCTATTTTTTTGAGAAAAAATAAAAATTGAAATTTTTCAAAAACTATTGACTTTTGCTACAGTTTAGAGACAGTCAAATTTACTTTGCTTCGAGGCTATCCACATGTTTCATATTTAGGACTTTACATACACAAAACCTAACCTGACTTAAGCAAACTATCCTGTTTATTTTTTTTTTATTAAATTGGCTATCTATAGACTTAAATTTCCTTACATCTTGTTCTGTCACCTTTCCAAGGGAATGTATCAAATTACAATTAGCCATATAAATTGCTATATTCTCTTGACTTTTCTTCAGCTGTAATAAACAACGAAACCCTGACGAAGGAGATCAACAGTGAATGGGAGAAGAAAGCTCCAATTGCCTTCCTCTACGAAAGGGATACGGACTACTCAAAATCTATCAGCAAGGAGCTAAAAACGTTCTATTTGCACGACAAACCCGTGGATCAGTCCCAGCTCACACCTCTGGCTCAGGTGTAGTAAAATATTTCATTGAAATTTTGTGGTAATTAAACCTTTTTTATTTCTCTACTTAGCTGTACGCGGACTCCGTAATAGGATTTGGGGTGAACAGAGCAGCAAAACTGTTTGCCGAGTACAGCAATACTTCCGTGTATTACTACCGTTTCAGCTATCAAGGCCGGTACAGCCATTTCTACACGCCGGAGAGCAATAACACTGTTCCTTATGGTAAGTGAAAGAATGTAACTACTCGTTTTTGTTTATTTTTTGTGTCTAGAAGGGGTTTATTTTTTCGTTTGTTTAGTTTTTTAGGGGAACAAAAATAAAAATTTGGTAATTTCTTCGCATTTTCCAGGGGTCGTTCATCACGACGATTTGATATATTTGTTCTACGTTTCGAGGTTATTCCCCTTATTCAAAGAGAGCTCTCCAACAGAAGTCGAAATGGTGTCAAAGTTGACGGCTCTTTATGCAAATTTCGCTAAAACAGGGTAAGATACTACGTATTTTAATTAAAAAGGATCGTTTTCTCCGAGTGTCTTTTAAAGTTAAATTTAAAGTTTCAAAATCAATTCTTATATGCTTAAAATATTACAAATGTGCAGAGTGGACGGCAATATAAACATAAACACATCCCGCAGTATGCCTTTAAGAAACTATTTACACATGAATTAATCACAATTGTTGAGAGTGTTATGTAATATGACAAATAGACCTGCAAATATCCTACGAACATGATCAATTAAAAAATCTTGTACTAAAAGTGCGATTTCTCATCTATAAAAGGCCGGCCTTAAATTTATTCCCAAGTAGGCTACCTGGTGAAACAATCCTAAATAAAATATGGAAACAAAAAGATTTCTTTGTAGAGCTGTATTTTATGTCTCTGTCATCAAAAATACAAGATATTTAAGTTTCACTATGTCACGTATGTATTTTTGTTATTATTTACTTTTAGACATTTCGTTTTTAGTTTTTATTTTGGATAATTATTTGTTATTAACTGTTTATCGGGTATTGTTGTCATGTCATGCATTTGGGGCGTGTACCCCATAGAGTAGTTGTTTCCTGCAATATCGACAATTACGAATTTTGCCTGTGGAGTTAAATACATTTTTGCACATCTAGATTTCTGGCATCGAAGAAAATTGTTTGATATACATTTGATAAGATTAAAAAAATTTATATATGTTAGAATTAGCTTTATTATTACTATTTGAAGTTATTTAATAAAAAATTTCAGGAACCCCATCCCAGCCCCTTCGGAGAAACTGGACAACGTGAAATGGGAGCCGTTCACCCTCAAAGAACAGAAGTACATGGACATCGGGAACAAGCTGCAGATGCAGGAGAAGCTGTACGAGAAGAGGTACGCGGAGTGGGAAAAACTGTTCCCCTTGGGTCAATACTCAAAAAATAAACAAAGCCACTAATCAGATTGTTACGGAGGATATCGTTTTGTTTTCACTTACTATTAATAAGACTTTTTTTAGAAACATACTTTATATACGATGTATATAATTATATTTTTGTGAAATAAAATAATTTCATGTTTAAGTGTCAATTTTTATTTACACTTTTATTGTCTCATGTTGTAAAACAAATACATAGAGAGGATTGACATTGAAAACAAATTCAAAAAACATATATTTCATTAGCTCTTACATTTTTTTTAACTGTATATTTTAAAGGTATTAGGCTAGTTATTCTATTCAAATTTAAAAATATTAAACCTTTAAAAATTCTTAACAAATGAAGTCAAACTATGTTCTTCGATACCAAAAATAAAGATATGCAAAATACATCGAACCCCACAGATAAGACTCCTAATCCTAATAATTGTCGATATTGTAGAAAACAACTACTTTATGGGTTACCTTGCCCCAACTAGTAGGTATTGAATTATACTCCCAATCCCAATAACCAGCAAACAGCTATATACTAAATACATAATAGACTCTTTTAGTGTGACGTCACTATTTAGGCTACAGCACTACATAAAAGACAGCAGACTCGTCCGCTATTCGTCATGACGTCATAATCTATCTATCGTCTATCGTCTATCTATCGTAAACCCGCCAGTGAACGGTTGTTCCCTACGGTTTCAATTAGAATTCTGTGTTAAAAATGACTGGGTGTTCGGCTCCAAATTGTACGAATCATGCGAAAAATGGCTATAGATTCTGTAGGTAACTACTTTTGCTATATAATCATTCAGCACTACAAAAGTCCAACCCAGTAAAGCTCAATCCAACTCCATATAACCTCAAATTCAAATTTCATGTTTTTCAGAAATTTGTACTTTTCTATACTATTTAGGTAGTTTGCAACTTCTTAAATATTTCTTATATTGCCAGAATACCGATGACGATGAATTATTGGATATGTGAAATTATTAATTTTCAAATTGCTTTTATTTATCACGGCTTGGTTGGAAATTTGGTACTAGATATTTTTATTTTCGTTTCAAAGAAAACGAAATTTAGAATTTTATGAATAACCTGATGAATTACACTTGTTCAACTCGTTCATGGATCAATTCGCAATGTAAAATAATAGCTAGAAAATGTACGTGACAATTGATATAAAATAAAAAAGTTGTAGGGTTCGAACGAAAGAAATGTTTGTAAGAAAAAAAAATAATCATTATTCATATTAAAAATGGTCACTAGTATCGTAGAATGAGGAAATAGAATTTCCTCACTCAACGCTTGTTGGAAAATACAATTAGCCAAGGCTAACAAACCAAAGAATATTTATTTTGTGTTTTTTGATACCAAGAAAAATGAGTTGAATATACAAATGACGTAATAATCTACTACTGGATTTTAATAATTAATTGTGGATTAGTAAACGGGGTTTTGAGTGATTATTGATTACGAATTATGCAGGGTCGAACCCCGCATTCAATCCATTTAAAAATTTTCAACTAATTTTCCATATACCTAAATATTAAAGAGCTTACTATGTAAACTGTTAGATAGAATGCTATAGATAATATTATAACTTGCGATAATGCAATATTTCATAATCATAGGCAGTAACACTCAAATAAAAGTTACCTATGAACTTATCTAATTCGCTAAGAACGTATCTGCTCAAATATTAATTATAGGGGTAAATGGTAATGGAGTGAGAAATACTATTTCCCACTCAACGGTACTGTTTAGAAATATGTACATATCAACATTCAAGTCCACCCCTGGCGCATTATCCAAAGTTCCTGGGACTCGTTAATGTTCAAACTAATTCAACAAATAAAGCCATTACTCGTATGCATTGCACGAGATAAAAAGTAAAAATTTTCCCCCTGGGGAATTTTGTGCTGTATCGGTGAGACACGTACAGGGTACAAACAAGGATAATGTATAACATATGCATGGCAGTTTAGTTGTTTAGTCTGTTAAAGGTAAACCACTTGTTTGATACATATGTATAAATGGTTTAAAACTACTTTAAGTAATAGTACGTGAGACGTGTAAAGTACGAATGGTATTTTGTATGATATCAAGGTGTATGTATATTTAAATATTTTTTAAATTTTGTGCATTCTCTGCGTTGAAGGAATATTTAAAAATTTAACAGTAGCTGAAGTGTTTTAAGCTGGCGAATTTTACGTTTAAATGTATGTTCTTAAATGTTGTGAGATATCACAGATAACAATGATTGACGAAGAAATCACGATCTTAGTACGAATTTATAATCATGTCAAAACACACGTAATTTAATACTTCAATCTAATTAAACTACATGCATACTTGCATAAGTAGTTAATTAAAAAATTTAAGGTTATCATTAAAATTGGTAGGTAGTAAATTTGAGATTGGTACCTAACAATATATGTGTATATTATATACAATATAATTTGAATGATGATAAATAAAGAATTGTGTATTCAAGATAATTCAAATTTTTCAATATCTACAGACAATAACTGTAAACCAAGTTGAAAACAGACTTGTTTTTATTAACTAAAACATATTTATATTTTTACTTTGCTTATATTGTTTACTTATTTGTCTCATGATGTTTCTAGAATATGTTCCATTTCTTTCTATCGCATTCTTAGAAGGTTAAATCTTGTTCAATACTGTTCTTATTTGCGGAAATTTCGAGAAACAACGAAAAATATATAAACGCCGTCAAAGCGAGTGTCGGCGGGATTTTTTTGAAAGGGTAAGTTACATTTTGTTACTGAAAAGTGTCAAAATTTGTAAACTGTGTGTATTAAATTGTGCTAAATAAAGGAAATTTGGTATAATATAATATATACAGGGTGTTTATTAAGTATTTGTCGCAACTTTAGGGTGAATCTTTGACTAATTTTAAGATAAAAAAGTACCTTTTGTACGTATAATTGAGTGGAGAATAAGTCAAAAATGACATACAGTGCCATACAAAAGGGTCATGGTTATTTAAATCCAGGTACAACACTGTATGTGGCGCCCTCTAACATTAAGCAAAAAATTCATCTCTTCATCAATATTTCCAGTTTGCCGAATTTCGTCAAATTGCCATGTTATTGAACAAGTCTGGTCTCGTCATGTTATCACACTAACACTTTTGCGTCAGCCATTTCAAAATTTATTTTTTTTTAAATATTTTGTATTTCTATTAATTATTAATTAATAATTTATTAACTCCCTTTACAAGGAGGCCACTAGGAAAATCACCCTCAAAATACAGAAATATTAAGATTAAGGAAAATAAGAATAAAACATATTTGAAATATGTATTACATTATTTAAGAATTTTAGGTACTTACCTATGTGTTTTTCAGTTAGCTGTTTAGTAGATATTGTTGGCATAATTAATTCAATGATAGTTGGGGTGTGGGTATGTACCCCACAGAATATTTATTTACTGCAATATCATCAGTTAAGAGCTTTCTCTACTTAGATTTCTGGTATCGAAAACCATTGTTCGACTTAATTTAATAAATTTTTTAAGGAAAATGTTTGAATTAGCTTAAAGGTTTTTAAAATACAGTGAATGTACAAGATCTAACAATAAAATATTATTTAAAAAATAATAAAATAAAGTAAAGTATCATTAACAGTATTAGCAGCGTGTGATGATATAAAGGAATAACAAAACTTCCATAAGAACATGTTTGTGGCCTTAGTAGTGTGCTATGCTTTAGCACTATTCGCAATAAGTGAGGGAAAAAATGAGGAGAAAAAGAAACATGTAACTGAAAATCCGGTAGTAACTACCCCATTAGGACAAGTAAGAGGTAGTCTTATGACTTCTAGACTGGGAAAAACCATTAACGCTTTCAGAGGTATGCGTTATGCCAAACCACCAGTAGATGAACTGAGATTCCAGGTGAGATTCACAAATTTGAAGCTGAAGTTAAAAAAAATGCAGATGGTGCACTTTTAACTTATCGATTTTTAAACCGCCAGCCTCCGGTGCCTGTGGAAAAGTGGGGGGGAGTCTATGACGCCACCAAAGATGGTTTTCTTTGCCCTCAACCCTCTACAAGCCCTGTCTCGGAAGATTGTTTGATCGTAAACGTTTATTCAACCCAGGTTAGTGTTTAAATTATTTTAGAAAACCTATACAAAAATATACCCTAGAGGTTCACGTCTGGAAAATATTTAACTCTGTGCTACAGCTAGAGGTCAAAATTTTCAAAAAATTGATAGATGGAAAAAAACGACTTTTTTCTGAAGAAAGTTAGAAACATTGGAAAAAATTTAAATACCTACTGCTAAGTGGACTACCTTTAACGAATTTGCAAAATATTTCTCTCTATAAAGCCAGTCTCTTTTTAAATTAAAAAACATTTTCTATTTTGCTTAAGGAGTACTGATCTTTTGTTCTTTTTTTCGTTGTTTAGTCATGAAAAATAAGAATTTTGTTTATTTTTGTTGTTTTACGGGTATATAAAATATTACAATTATATTTTGACAATTATTTGTGCTTGAACTTTACTAATTTGAGATTTCCAGCAAAATATGTTATGAAAGATATTTTAGTAAATATGTTCTCAAGTGTTTTTATTTTAAGATTCTTTAAATTTTTCGCTTTTCAAATTTTTTTGCTTTGGAAAAAACAGTTTTTTTTCGAATTTTCCGATACTTTCTGAATTTTTAAATCTCTTAAAACTTACCGAAAAAAATTTTGCAGCTTCCCCAGGATTCTGAGAATCCAAAACGTCCCGTAATCGTCCACATCCACCCTGGAGGATTCTACAGCTCATCTTCAGTGAGTTACCGTGCAGGACCGCAATATTTCATGGACCAGGACATTGTCTTGGTTACTTTCAATTATCGCTTAGGTTCTCTGGGTAATAAATTCAACCAATTACATATTCCCTATAAGTGATATAAATGTAATTTTATACATTATTTAGGCTTCTTGAGCACCGGCGACAAGGAAGCACCAGGCAACAATGGCTTGAAAGACCAAGTGTTGGTCTTGAGATGGGTAAAACAAAATATCGAAGCTTTTGGGGGGGACCCGAACAGCGTTACGATCCAGGGGTACAGTGCAGGAAGTCGTAGCGTCATTCTGCATTTGGTTTCGCCAATGTCGCAAGGTACGTTGAAAGGGAACTAACGGTTATCTGCCAGTGATGTTATTAAAACGATTTTCCTAGAATTTAGTTAATTATATATACAGTGTGTTAGAAGTGTGACTGTCATTACTTCAGCGTAATATAGATTAACCACAAATGAAATAAAAAATTATGACAGTCAAACTTCAGACACAGGGTGAAACTAATACAAAAATGCTGTGTGTTTACAGGCTTATTCCACAAAGCGATTGCAATGAGTGGGTCGGCCGTGGGCGCCTGGATTCCTCCACATAACCAGCTGGAAATTGCCAAAAAACAGGCAAGAATTGTAGGGTGTCCGGATGATACCAGCGCCAACATCATAAAGTGTTTGAAAACTAAGCCGTTCAAAGAATTGGGAAATTCCCTTTCTCAGTTTAGGGTACGTACGGCATATATAAATACCGAGCAAAAATAGTTAGTAATTTTTCCTTTAAAAGCTGATGTAATTCTATTACGTGTTAAATTAACCAAAATTGGTGAAAAGTCCAGATAAGTAGAATATTAGCGGCATCCTGAAAAATTACTACGAATATTTAAAAAAATTTAGATTTTATTTGTAAATATTTACCTACTTTATTTCTGTAAATTCTCATACTAAAATTACACCGGCTATGTAAATATTAATTTAAATCGATAAATTCCAAGGAAAGGTTTTTTCCCTGAAATTAAATGAAATATTTACAGACCATGTAAATGCTTGGAAATTACACATTAATTTTTTGCGGCGCATATGTTTATTAGTTCTGATTACTAAAAACATTTACCCTTTAGGAATTTGGATACGATCCAGTTGTAATATGGTCTCCTGTCATCGAAAGTGACTTTGGTCAACCGCGGTTTTTGACTGCCCACCCCAACGACCTCATACAAAGTGGAAAATTCCAAAATGTACCTTTTATTACTGGCATAACGACCGATGAATTCGGATACTTCGCGTTTAGTAAGTGAAACATATCTTTGAAATATTAAAATTATTTTCCTACGAATTCATTAATGTTCACAGTAATGATTTGAATATCACTAAAATTCATAACTCGAATTTTATCGTCGCATAAGTATGTATACATATTTCTTGAATTTGTTTTTTAAAATTAATTTTTTATTCATTTTCCTTTCCAGACGTGGTAAACAACGAAACTCTGACCAAACAAATAAACGAAGACTTTGACAAAATCGCCCCAATAGCTTTCATCTATGAAAGAGACACGAATCGATCGAAAAATGTCAGTAAGGACCTGAAGAAGTTCTATTTGCATGACAAGCCTGTGGACAAATCTCAATTCACGGCTTTGGCTAACGTAATTATATTGTTTTACTATTATTAATTATACATGGTGTAACTTTAAATGGGGGTCATGTTTATACAGAGGCTAACTTCGATCTTTAGAAATACATATCATGAGTTTGTTTTCTTAATTTCCGTCGTGAAACTGTTTTTTTTATATTTTTCTTCTTGTAATTTTCATACCCCTGCCGATGGACAAGTTAGTGCAACCCTTTGAACAAACGCTGTTCCAAATAGAAATTGCGAAACATTAAATGTGAATTTTAATAGTACTTACTGTGACAGTAAAATTTTTAAGTCTAAATTTGGACACAAACCTTAACTGGAAATATAACTGCATGACAAGCCTGTGGACAAATCTCAATTCACGGCTTTGGCCAACGTAATTATATGGTTTCATTTTTATTAATTATACATGGGGGGCATATTTTTTTTGGTTTTGTAATTTTCATGTCCCCGCCGCTGGACAGGTTGTGTAACCCTTTGAATAAACGAGTGCGTTAGCCAACTGGGTAAGTTGGAAGCTATGGCACGCATAATAGTCAAATTTAATTTTTCTTGATTATCATACATGTTTTTTTCATTACAGGACACACCGTTACTAAACACCGAGCGCTGAGATTCACAATCTAAACACAAGTGGTTTAAAAATTAGTAACAAATACATTTTATTAAAAACTTCTACATCTGTCAGATTTGTATTTTATAAAATAAGAAAAATAATTATTTGAAAACTTAAGTGAGTTTTACTTACAACATTAGTTAATATTTAATAACTCATGCATACACTTTTAAAAATTAAACAATTTTTAATGTTCAGCCTTTGTCCGCATTTACAAAAAAAATATGATTTTTAAAATAGCATGTAAAATGCAAAATACAAAAGTTAGTTTTATACTGTTGGTTCAAAAAGGTAAAAACTGGAAACACTGATAAACTTGTACATACAATACGAGAGAGCTGTGCAGTGGCGGTGTAGATACGAGTTTAAATGTAAAAATGTAGTTAATTATAACTTGACTATTTATTTCATTAAAAAAAAAGTATTGATAGATTAGCATTCTGGGGAACACATACTATATCACCCCTAAAAAATGAAATATATACATATTTCACATTTTAGAATTTACTTCTGATATATTTTTTTCTGTTTAGTTGTATGCCGATTCGATAGTGGGATTTCCAGTGAACAGAGCAGCGAAACTGATATCCCAGTACAGCAGTGATTGTGTCTATTACTACCGTTTCAGCTACCAGGGACGCTACAGTCACTTCTACCTACCTGACAGTAACAACACCACTCCTTATGGTATGCGAATAAGGACATTTATTTTGTTATCCTCAACTTTAAAATCGGATATAAAAATTGCTTTTTCTTTTCTGATGTTTTTTTAGGGGTTGTCCATCACGATGATTTGATATATTTGCTCTACAATTCGAAACGCTTCCCGTGGTTCAACGCCACATCCCCAGAAATTGAAATGGTCGAGAAGTTGACGACCCTCTATGCCAATTTCGCTAAGACCGGGTAAGGAACTATAAACAATACTGAAAACTAAAAATAAACACCGGGAAAATAAATACATACATTTGTTGTTAATATCAAATGTTTTTATTTTAGAAATCCAACCCCTACATCAACTGACAAACTGGACAACGTGAAGTGGGAACCTTTCACTCTTAAGGACCAGAAGTACTTGGACATCGGAAAGAAGCTTGTAATGCAGGAGAAGCTGCACGAAAAGCGGTACGCGGAGTGGGAAAGGCTGTTCCCCTTGCCCCTTGCCACTAAGCAAAAACCACTAATTAGTTGCGGAGGATATCGTTCTCCTCTCACTTAATAATAAGGAGATCTTTATTTAGATACATTCTTTATTTACGATGTATTACATTATTTTTTTGTGAAATAAAATAATTTTATATTTAAATGTCAATTTTTATTTACATTTTTATTATTGTCTCATGTTGCAAAATAAAAAAGTAAACTACCTAATAATGCTTTGATTGCATCTACAGACGAGCATGTCATTTTTTGCCAGTACTTTGACCCAGTACCCTGTAAATATATTAATAACATTGAGTTTATATAGAGTGTTTCAATTAAAACTTCCCACCTGGAAAATATCGGAATTAAAAAAAAACTGAGACACGTCGATTTTCTTTTCAATGGGGACATGTGATGACGTAAGTTTTGATGTCTTGGAAGCTACCCTTTAGACAGGGACGTAAAATACCCTTAAACTTTAAATAGCACCCTATGTTGAGTGACACCTCAATTTAAAGCTTTTTCAATTTTGCTTACGATGACATACGACTTTTTAGATTTTGGTTTGAATATGCTTACTTACTGCTATTAGAAATATTTTGTGATAAAACAAACTATATAAAATTGAGTTAGTGCTGTTTGTGAGTTATAAATGAAACCAACAAAAGAAACAATTTTTAAGAAATCCTCCTGTCATAAAAAAGAAATAGAGAAATCGTTTTGTAACAAAATAAAAGCTTTAGTCCTATTAAAAGTGCAATATTTGGTCACTGGTACAGATAATAACAGCCAAGGCTAACAAGCCAAGGAATATTTATTTATTTAATCAGTTTTCTGATACCAAGAAAAATGAGTTTTATAAACAAATGATGTAATAGTCTACTACTCGGTTATAAAATTAATTGTTGGTTAGTAGTAGTAGTTTGGATGATTACCAAGAAATGAATTTGCCGAGTCGAACTCAGAATATATACCGTTCATAAAATTTTCCAAATACAACTTTCCATAATAATAATAATAATAATAATAATAATAATAATAATGATAATGATAATAATAATAATAATGATAATGATAATAGCACATCATCTAAATTTCCTGTATCTTGTTAATAATATAATTAATTCAACAGGCCATTAACTGGTACCTATGCACTGCAAGAGATAAATAAAGCTAAACTTTTCACTTTGGTGGGGAATTCTGTGCCGCATCGGTGAATCATTTACAATGGTACAAATAAGGATAATACATGTACGACAGTTTAGTTCGTTAAAGGTGGTTAAAGGTAAACCACTTGTTCGATGATACATGCAGTTGATAAAAAAATATTTTATCTAATAGCAAGTGGAACAAGTGAAGTGCAAATCGTTTTTTGTGTGATAGCAAGGTATCTAATCAAGTAGGTATATTTTAAATTTAGAGCCAATAATTTTTAAATACACATATTGCTTTATAAATATAGTTAGAAATACATTATCTTCGTTGGAGAAACTCCTTATATTTTTAAATTTAACAATAAAAGTATGTTGAGCTGATTTTTATGACTTTTTTTGAACTTGAAAAACTGTTGAAACTTTAATATTATATTTATTGATATTGAAAGGTTGATCAGAAATTTTTTTAAGGTAAAATATGGACAATAATCAGCGCTCCTATGGCATCCATGTAAAAAAAAGTTGTCGGATAGTATCTACCCACGATTCCAAATTTCCAGTACATCTGAAATAAAATAAGGAAACGACATTTTAATCTCTGGATGTGTGGTTATCGCAAGAACTAGAATTTGCATTATTGCCGAAGTTTTGAAAAAAAAAAAATATATTTTTTTCCCCACTACAAAAAAAAAACTATAATGATATCATAATTATTCTAGTTCAAGCGAAAACTAGACGTGTACAGAAAATGTCTGTGGAAGTAGAGCAAAATCGGTTAAAACTTTTCGAGATATATCGAGTACCGTTTTGAAAAATATTGTTTAGTAAGACTAAATCGCGTACGAAAGTTCGAGAACGTATTACACAAAATAATTGAACTCACGATTATTGGGCAGTGCCTGTCTGGTTTCAGTGCTTTTAAACAACTGTACATACACACATAGCTACGAAGTGTGTTAATTGGGGGAGCCACAAAGTGGCATCGGTCGCAAGAATACTTTCCTTTCTACGCCTGTAACTTTATAACGACATCGAATTTCAACAAATCCTTTTCTCCACGTATGACTTTTTTTAGGCAAAAAAAAATCGAATTAATTTTATTTTTAAGTAGGTATAGTCTCCTAAATGCAGCAAGATATCACGGATAACAATAACTGACAAAGAAGAAATCACGATCTCAGTACAATCTAATTATGTCCAGATAAACGTGATTTGATATTTTAATCCAGTTAAATTACATATTTGCATACGTAGTTAAGTAATTAAAAAGAATTAAGGTTATCATCGGAATTCGCAGTAAATTTGAGATTAGTAAATAACAACAGTATTTAATTACATGTGTAAATTTCAGACCTTAAAATTAATAAATGTAATCGGAGCGATTTCTTGAAAATTAAATTATTTTTCTCCACTCCTGTTGGTCGTAGAACATTTTCTTTTTAAATTCGTGGAAGAATGTCGGCTTTCAAATGGCAACAATGCCTTTCCGATTACATTTCAACTATAAGTAAAAGAATTGTAATGTTAATGAAATACCCTTTTTATTTGTGGACTGTATTTTTTATGATATTAGATATAAACAACTTCTGTGAAGTAATCTGACAAGCTGGCAGGAGCCGCAGTTCGTAGGTCCTTTTTTATTGAGATCAGACTCGAAAAAATGTATTGATGTCAATATAACAGTAAACAACCACTCAAACAAAAAAAAAAACGAAAAACAAAGCTGCTACGTCTTGATCAAGCTTTAGAGGTACATTTTTCGACCCGAAAAAAGAAGTCAACGTTTCGGTGGACTTTTCGCATATTTCCAATTATTTTGCAATACGCGCACAATTTGCACACTCTTAGAGAAGATGGGCTACATAAGTGCATTACTGGTATGATTTATTGAAACTTGAAAAAAATGTATTTTTTTTTTAAATCTAAATTTTTGCATAAAACTATTAAATATGTATTATGCAATTCTACAAAAATGCACCTCTACTTGGCAAGGACCACATATTCTGAAAGTTTCGTAAAAATATCTTTTTTCTTTTTAAAATTATATAGATATTTTAAGAAAATGTGATTTTTAGCGTTTTTTTGCAATAACTAATTTTGTTTATCAATTGACATCGGGGTAGGCTCAAAATTTTTGTTCTACGACTTTTGTCTAAAACATTTTTTTCTAAAATGTTTTTTTTTACATGAAAAGAAACTGTTCTTTGTAAACTTTGGACGACATTTTGAAAATGAAGCCCTTACATTCAGCTGGAGTAAAATAGTTCATTCAGTTTTACGGAATTTTTCCTAATGTTTGGGTGTCTTTGTTGCTGAACTAAATTTTGGCAAAAGGTATATTCGACAATTTGACTGGCCTAAATATAATTAATAGTATCGTGTGATTTGAACGAACGAATATGGAAACTTGCATAACAACATGTTTCAGATGATGCGAAGAATGACCCTAACAGTCTGCTGCATCTTAGCACTATTCGCAGTAGGTGAGGGAAATGAGGTGAAAAGCAAACATGTAACTGAAAATCCGGTAGTAACTACCCCCTTAGGACAAATAAGGGGTAGTCTTATGACTTCTAGACTGGGGAAAACGATTAATGCTTTCAGAGGTATCCGTTATGCCAAACCACCAGTAGATGAACTAAGATTCCAGGTGAGATTCATAAATTTGAGGCTTAAGTTTAAAAAAGTACAGATAGTGGAACTTATCGATTTTTAAACCGCCAGCCTCCGGTACCTGTGGAAAAATGGGAGGGAGTCTACGACGCCACCAAAGATGGTTTTCTTTGCCCTCAACCCTCTACAAGCCCTGTCTCGGAAGATTGTTTGATCGTAAACGTTTATTCAACCCAGGTTAGTGTTTAAATTATTTTGGAATGTATACAAATATACCTTAGTTATAAGGTGGTGGACGTCTGGGAAATATTTAACTCTGTGTGTGTTACAGCTAGAGGTTCAACATTTTCGAAAAAACTGGATGTCGCAAAAAATCGTTTTTTTTTTATCAAAACAATTCGAATATAATTAAGTAGGTACTGTTAAGTGAATTTGCAAAATAACGTTTTTTTCCAAGCCCGACGTTTTTTTAGCTATAGAGAACTGACACTTTTTTTTTTGTTGTCTACTCATGAAAAATTAAAATTTTGTCGATTTCCGATGTTTTAAATAAAATAATATTTATCTTTTCGAAACATGTGCTTGAATTTTACTAATTTGATATTTGAGGCCATTATTTTGTTAAAATAAAGTTATTTTCATACTCACTGATGTTCATTCCAACAGAAAAACCATAAAAAATATTTTCATAAATAATTTTTCAAATGTTGTTTTTAAAATTTTTTCAAATTTTTCCCTTCGAAGAAAAACGACAAAAAAAAAACAAATTGTTCACCCAATATTTCCTTTTATTTTGCAATTCTTACATCGTTAGTCAATTTATTGAACAAACTTTTGCAGCTTCCACGTGGTTCTGAGAATCCAAAACGTCCTGTAATCGTCCACATCCACCCTGGAGGATTCTACAGTTCAACATCAGTGAGCTACTGGGCAGGGCCCCAATATTTTATGGACCAGGATATCGTCTTGGTAACTTTCAACTATCGCTTAGGATCTCTGGGTAATAAATTCAGTCAATTAGATATACACCATAAATAAGATACACGTAATTTTATACATTATTTAGGCTTCTTGAGCACCGGCGACAAGGAAGCACCAGGCAACAATGGTTTGAAAGACCAAGTGGTGCTCCTGAGATGGGTAAAACAAAACATCGACGCCTTTGGGGGCGACCCAAACAGCGTTACCATTCAGGGGTACAGTGCAGGAAGTTGGAGCGTTATTCTGCATATGGTTTCGCCACTGTCGCAAGGTACGTAGAAAAGGAACTAACGATTTATTTGTTAGCGATATTATTAATACTTTAACATAAGACAGATGAAGATAAGACAGTTTAAAAAATATTTACAAAAAAAAAACATCTACGGCTAAGGTCGCACAAATATGTAATATAATTTAGATACCAATGAAAAATCAAAATACGTAATTTTTAAAGACACGTTAAGATAAAGTACAACACATATTCATCATTTTCAACGGGTGAATCACACCACATTTGTTCTTATTTGATGGGTAGCGGAAAAAATCCGCCCTCACAAGTTTCCTTCTGTTTCTCTCTCTTTCTGGTACAATGTTTTCCAGGAAATTCAGATATACCTCTTTTGTTAATTTGTACCTTCTTCCGTATTCACACCCAGCTATCGATTTAGGCTACGATTTTGGGAGCGAGGAACATCACTACCAGTATCAAGAAGACACTGTGTTAATTTTAAAAATCAGAAAAATTAACGAATTAGTGGTACGCTAAAACACTTCTGGCAAACAGCAAGCATGACTGTCAAACACCATAGTGCTTTTAAGACTTTCACGGTCCATAGAATACTTTGTTAGGTTGTTATGCCGTGGCCTGTGTACTTGGTCGTTGCCAGTTACAGGATTACCTTTCACTTCCTTAGCCTTAGCCAGGAATCATCGATCTGCCCTTATTGTTCTTGGGCTAGGCTCTGTAGAAGCGGACCTGCTATTGGAACCCACGGGAAGCACGTTATATAAGATTTTTTGTTCATTTTGTTGTATACTGCCGCTTATTTTAAATTATGAATTTTAACGTACGGCATTACGTGTGAAACTAAAAAAAAATACTGTGTTTACAGGCTTATTCCACAAAGGAGTTGCGATGAGTGGCTCGCCCGTGGGTGCCTGGATGCTTCCACATAACCAACTGGAAATTGCCAAAAAGCAAGCAAAAATTTTAGGATGTCCAGATGATACTAGCGCCAACATCATAAAGTGCTTGAAAACTAAGCCGTTCAAAGAACTGGGAGACTCTCTTTTTCAGTTTAGGGTACGTATGACAAATACAAATGCATAGCAAAGTAATTAGTAGCCTTTCGGTTAAAAATTGGCGCAGTTCTGTTATATATTAAATCACATATTATACATATATGTACATATAGTTAATATAATACTTATTAAGGAATTAAATGTCACTTATTTGAAACAAAAAATGTATTTGCCGGTATTGTCATAAATTTTGCAATAAAGCCTTTTGCTAGGTCAGAAGATTTTGCAGAAAAATTGCAGTAATAAATAAAAAGTTGACAAAAAAACGTTTTAACCATTAGAAGTGTTCTTTAGGATTTTTTTTTATAAAGTAGCATAATCTTTCTGGGGCCTATTTAATATAGATAATATAGATATGTTAATCAATGTCTACTTATGGCTAAGGGAGATTTCCCTCAGAGATTTCAACACAATATAGAAAACGTATTTGTTTACAGAATAATTGCATACAAGAGAATATATGTAAATAAAAAATGGCGGTGTAAAAACAATATATAAAATATACTCAGCCGAATTAGATCATAAAACCTGAAAATTTGAAAAAATTACTATTTTATGACGGGGAAGGGTATGTAGAATGATAAAATCAAGAAAGTAAGTCGAAAGAAGTTACGCTAAACTGGGAAATTGCAAATAAGTAACATATTTATGTGTTTTTTCTCTTTTTTTTAACTGCTAACGAAAATCTAGACGATTTATCGGAATTTTTGTTATTTTATGTTGTAGGCAATTAAATTAACGTTAATTTTTCCTTTCCCGTCAAAATGCAATAAAATGTCTACTAATAATTTGTTCACTTTCAAACTCAATTCGACTGGAGTAATATTTTAATGTTTGTTAGCACGTAACAAGATAAAAAAAGACTGTCAGATTCTCAATTTTTTATTAAAATTTGTAACTTTTTTCCTGAGATTCTCTTTAATGATCCCCAAAAAAATATAATAAAACTAGGAAATAGTTGGTGCCATTATTTCAAACTGATTGTAATATAAATATTTTCTTACTAATTACTAATTACTAATTTACTTAAAAAAAAACAAAAAAAAAATTGTTTCGTATGAGTTAAACGCTCACATAATCTATAAGGTAACAACATCTATGTAAATGCGTTTTCTATAGCACATTTGAAATGTTTAGAAAGCAGTTTATGTACTTAGCAAAATACAACTATAGTACGATCATATTCGATGCAAAGTAATAAATCATTGCCTGTCAAGAGAACCAATGAAGTACGCCTTTAAGGGTTTTACAAATTGAATAATTTCTTTATACATTATGAAGGGACGAGGGGATCAGTTCAGGTCTGGCACCCTTGTTGCTACAAAAATTCCTTTATTCTCATAAACTATTTATTTTAAATGTAATTTATTATAAATCCAATTTGTTTCCTAAATTCCACATATGTACTACATTTTACCTCTGTACGCGCCACTGTTGTTTACTTGTTTTTTGGAAGTGCTCTCTAATTGACAGCAAAGCTCGCCAGGTTACTATTTGACGTATAACCGACCAGTTCGTACACTCGATGCACCTGGCCGACTACAGTTACTACCAGAATACAATGCGTATGATGCGGTATTTCAGATTGTACATTCAGTTTCATTTTAAATTTGAAATTGTTCATCTTACGCCTTCTAAAAATGATGACACTTTTTTCCTTTGATAAAAGGCCGACAATTTTTTGCTCTACTTTGCATCGTATACGATCCTACTATAATAGTACACAAAAATTGGGATAAACAGAGATCAATATGCCGCCGCCGCCGGTAAGTATTATGATAAACAACATTTTTTATTTAGTATCCGATTTATAGACGAAAAGTCCATCTAATAAAAAATTACTGCCGACAATAAGAGAACAAGATTTTTTTTTGTAATAATATTTATTTTATTTCTGTAAATTCTCATGTTAATATTACACCAACTACGTAATTATCCACTTAAATCATTGATAAGTTTCCAAGGAAGACTCTTTTACAGAATATAGAAATTTTGCTCAGAAATTATACCTTCATTTTTTGCAGTGCACATTTTTTATTGAATACTAAAATGTCCTTTTTAGGAATTTGGATACGACCCAGTTCTAATATGGTCTCCCGTTATCGAAGACGACTTTGGCCAAACACGGTTCTTGACTGCCCACCCCATCGATCTCATACAAAGTGGAAAATTCCAAAATGTACCTTTTATTACTGGCATAACGACCGATGAATTCGGATACTACGCCTTTAGTAAGTGAAACATATAAATAAAATATTAAAATTCTAGGAACTCATTAATTTTCACGGCAGTCATTCGAATAACATTAGTATTCAATAACTTGAATTTTATCGTCGCATAAGTATGTATACATTGTTTATATTATCTTGACTTTGTTTTCTTAAAACAAATTTTTCATAAATTTTCCTTTCCAGACGTAGTAAACAACGAAACTCTCACCAAACAAATAAACAAGGACTTTTACAAAATCGCGCCAATAGCTTTCATCTATGAAAGAGACACGAATCGTTCAAAAATTGTCAGCGAAGACGTGAAGAACTTCTATTTGCATGACAAGCCTGTGGACAAATCACAATTCACGGCTTTGGCTAACGTAATTATATTATTTTACTATTAATAATTATGCAGGGCGTAATTTGAATGAAATACAAACATTTATAATAAGATAGTTTTCTCAATTCTCTCAAACTGATTTACAAAAAAAACAAGTTTTCGTACTCAACCACTGGATAGGATAAAGCGCATAACCAATTTGGAGCTACGACATGCATTATTGTCAGTTTCCCTTTTTTAGGATTCTCATACTTGTTTTTTTCATAATATCTGACAAAGATTTAACAGTAAAGACAACACGAATACACCACTCCGTCACTAAACACTGAAATAAATATTATAAGGTTATACACCGTAAGTTTCAATATAAAATTAAATTTAACAAAACCCTTCACAATACAAATTCGATTTCGGTTTCAGTAAAATCTAATATTTAATATTTTATGCACAAATTAAAATAAATGTAATAAAATGAAGCGATGACTTATTCCGGTATTCTGGAAAAAACTGTCGTTACGTCCATGCGTGTTAACGCCTTGTCATATCACATCAGGTGGATTGATATTTGTAGTTGGGCAGGCCATTCATTAACGTTAACTTTTACTGCTGCTAGCGCGTTTATTATATTAATAATGTAACACTTTCTGAAAATAAAAGTTAAATCCTTTCTTTAATTGTCTCTAAAATCTCGGTGCGATACGTTCAATAGTTAATTAATAATTAATGTCATAAATAAACTATCTTGGGAACAAAGACGCGTAGGTGATTTCTTTTTTTTTAATCACCGTAAAAATAAGCTCTATTTAATGCAAATAGAGCGAATTCCCGAGCGGCTTTTGCCTGACCCTGGGACAATTTGTTTATAACGCTGTTTTGCACGTAAACAATTAGTTGCAAAATAACGAACAAAATTAAATAATAAATAGCTGGAGCAACAGTTTAACGGTCAATTGAATCGGCGCCGGCGTTTAACATGTTGATCATGGGTTGACCGTCTTTTCCATAAATTTCAATAGGTAATTTAATTGCCTACAACACAAAATAACTCGTTTTCTGTTCAATGTTTTTTTTTTAATATTTGCATTCAATAAGATTAGTATTTCTTAGGATTTGTTTCTAAAATACATTTTTTCCTGTTTAGTTGTACGCCGATGCGATAGTGGGATTTTCAGTAAATAGAGCAGCGAAACTGATATCCCAGTACAGCAGTGAGTGTGTCTATTACTACCATTTCAGCTACCAGGGACGCTACAGTCACTTCTACCTACCTGACAGTAACAACACCACTCCTTATGGTATGCGAGTAAAGACATTTGTCCATCCTCAACATTAAAATCGGCTCTAAAAATTGCTTTTTTTTCTGATGTGTTTTAGGGGTTGTCCATCACGATGATCTCATATATTTGTTCTACATTTCCAAATTATTCCCGTGGTTCAACGCCACATCCCCAGAAGTAGAAATGGTAGAAAAGTTGACGACTCTCTATGCGAATTTCGCTAAGACCGGGTAAGGAACTATAAACAATACTGAAAATTGAAAATAAACATCGGGAAAATAAATACCTACATTTGTGTGTAAATATCCAATGTTTTTATTTTAGAAATCCAACCCCTACATCAACTGACAAACTGGACAAAGTGAAGTGGGAACCTTTCACTCTTAAGGACCAGAAGTACTTGGATATCGGAAAGAAGCTTGTAATGCAGGAGAAGCTGCACGGAAAGCGGTACGCGGAGTGGGAAAAGCTGTTCCCCTTGCCCCTTGACCCTAAGCAAAACCACTAATTAGTTGCGGAGGATATCGTTCTCCTCTCACTTAATAATAAGGAGACCTTTTTTTAGAAACATTCTTTATTTACGATGTATTAAATATACATTATCTTTTGTGAAATAAAATAATTTTATATTTAAATGTCAATTTTTATTTACATTTTTATTATTGTCTCATGTTGCAAAATAAAAAAGTAAACGATCTAATAACGCTTTCATTGTAGCAGTACTTTGAACCAGTACCATGTAAATATAGTATATAATAACATTGAGTTTATACATAGTCTTTAAATTAAAACTACCCACCTGGAATTAAAACAAATATGAGACACGTCGATTTTCTTTTAAGGGGGACACGTGATGGCTTAGTTTTGGTGTCTTGGAAGTTACCCTTTTGGCAAAGGCGTAAAATACTCTACGTTGAAATAGCAATGAATGAAAGAATGGTATTTTATTAAATGTTCAAATTTTATTTTATTTTGCCGTACAAAACCTAACCAAGTCACCAAGTACAAAATTCAGAAGAATAGGGGAAATTTTAGAGCCCATTGGCGCGCCAAAAATCTGTTTGTAATAACTATTCTTGAATAAAAAATAATTAGAATAAAAAAATAAAACCAAGAGAGACAAAAAACTATTTATATTCAATTTACAATGTTGAGAAACAATGTTCGAATTGTTTATTAAACACTGGTAAACTATATTTTTTTGGTAAATTAGTAAATACCTAATGAGACTACATCAAAATTGACTACTATAAACCTACAGGTAATTGATTCTTCTTCTGAAGTTGTTCATTTTTATAGTATCTATGTAAACAATATGCAAGGGTCAGATTCGGTCTGTACAACTATGACAATTTGTTGCGGGTTGCCCAAATATATGACGTTACACTAAAATAGTCTATTCTCTAAGAACCTGTCTACTTGAATGGTAAGTATAAAACTATTTTGAATTATATATTCTTTCAAGTCCATCCCTGGCGCATCATCAAAATTTCCTGTATCTTTTTAATATTATAATTAATTCAACTGGTATGCACTGCAAGAAATAAATAAAGCAAAACTTTTCACCTTGGTGGGGAATTCTGTGCCACATCAGCGAGTCTTTACAAGAGTACAAAAAGGATAATACATCTACGACAGTTTAGTTCGTTAAAGGTAAACCACTTGTTCGATACGCGTAGACGGCGAATAAGTGGAACAAGTGAAGTGCAAATCGTATTTTGTGCGATATCAAGGTATATATGATGAATACCATTTTGGGTAATACTATATTGACTAAAACGCGTTTGAAAGTTCGAAAACGTATTACAAAAATAATTGAACACACGATTATTTGGCAATGCCTGTTCGGACAGCTGTACATACATACATACCTACGAAGTGTGGTAACTGGTGGAGTAGCAAAATGACATCGGCCGCCAAAACACTCCTTTCTACTGCTGTAACTTTATAAAGAAATCGAATTTCAACAAATCCTTGTCGCCACGTATTCTACATGACTTTTTGAGGCGATTTATGAAAAAAAAAATCCATTTTTTTCAACCTGACAAACTAAAAGACCCCCTTAAATGAGTTTTATTAAATTTAAGTATAGTTTCTTAAATGCAGCCAGATATAACTGACAAAGAAATCACGATCCCAGTACCATCTAATATCATGTCAAAATACACGTAATTTGAATTTCAATCCAGTTAAATTACATATTTGCATAAATAGTTAATTAAAAAGAATTAAGGTTATCATTGGAATCCGCAATAAACTTGAGATTGGTAAATAACATCAGTATTCAATTAAAACATATCGAGGGCGTCATTTCAGAACGGCGTAAGAACCACTATAGTCGGTTTTGGGTTTTTAGGGCGTATGACCTCATTTAAGCAATTTGCTTAAATCAGAAGGGCGTATGTATCTATTCATAAACATCAACACTATATTCTAACGCATTTTACTTAGGCGTATAAACCAATTTTGTAAAACAATAATATCGGAAGGGCGCATGAACCGGAAGTCAAATTATATGTTGGCATTTTACTAGATGTTAAATCTCCCCAATGAACTATAATGTATTGGTCTTATTATATTGGCAAAATCAACAAATTCATTCTAAATCGTGATTTCTAAAACGTTTTTCTCATTTCCTGTAAAATTTCAGATTTGGTTCGTAAGCTCTTCTGATACGAATGTAAATTTCAGACCTTAAAATTAGTAAATGAGATGGTAGCAATCTTTTTTGTTAGTCGTAGGACACTTTTTTTAAATTCGTAAAAAAATGTCAGCTTTCAAATGGCCATAATGAATTTCCGATTAAATTTCAATAATAAGAAACAGATCTATATTTTTCGACCCAAAAAAAGAAGTCAATGTTTCGGTAGATTGGCATCGAGCTGGGCTGAAAATTTTTGTCTGAAACATTTTTTTCTAAAATGTTTAATTTTTTTTTAACGAAAAAAACTATTTTTTGTGAACTTTGGACGACATTTTGAAAATGAAACCCTAACTCTGGGGTAAAGTAGTTCATTCAATTTTACGGAATTTTTTCTAATTTTAGCGTATCTTTGTTTACTGAACTCAAAAAATCGAGGTATTTTCGACAATCTGACTGGCCTAAACATAATTAATAGTATCGTGTGAATTGAACGAACGAATATGGAAACTTGCATAACAACATGTTTCAGATGATGCGAAGAGTGGCCTTAATAGTCTGCTACACTTTAGCTCTATTCGCAATAGGTGAGGGAAAAAATGAGGAGAAAGAGAAACATGTAACTGAAAATCCGGTCGTAACTACCCCATTAGGACAAGTAAGAGGTAGTCTTATGACTTCTAGACTGGGAAAAACCATTAACGCTTTCAGAGGTATGCGTTATGCCAAACCNGGGTTGTCCATCACGATGATCTCATATATTTGTTCTACATTTCCAAATTATTCCCGTGGTTCAACGCCACATCCCCAGAAGTAGAAATGGTAGAAAAGTTGACGACCCTCTATGCGAATTTCGCTAAGACCGGGTAAGGAACTATAAACAATACTGAAAATTGAAAATAAACATCGGGAAAATAAATACCTACATTTGTGTGTAAATATCCAATGTTTTTATTTTAGAAATCCAACCCCTACATCAACTGACAAACTGGACAAAGTGAAGTGGGAACCTTTCACTCTTAAGGACCAGAAGTACTTGGATATCGGAAAGAAGCTTGTAATGCAGGAGAAGCTGCACGGAAAGCGGTACGCGGAGTGGGAAAAGCTGTTCCCCTTGCCCCTTGACCCTAAGCAAAACCACTAATTAGTTGCGGAGGATATCGTTCTCCTCTCACTTAATAATAAGGAGACCTTTTTTTAGAAACATTCTTTATTTACGATGTATTAAATATACATTATCTTTTGTGAAATAAAATAATTTTATATTTAAATGTCAATTTTTATTTACATTTTTATTATTGTCTCATGTTGCAAAATAAAAAAGTAAACGATCTAATAACGCTTTCATTGTAGCAGTACTTTGAACCAGTACCATGTAAATATAGTATATAATAACATTGAGTTTATACATAGTCTTTAAATTAAAACTACCCACCTGGAATTAAAACAAATATGAGACACGTCGATTTTCTTTTAAGGGGGACACGTGATGGCTTAGTTTTGGTGTCTTGGAAGTTACCCTTTTGGCAAAGGCGTAAAATACTCTACGTTGAAATAGCAATGAATGAAAGAATGGTATTTTATTAAATGTTCAAATTTTATTTTATTTTGCCGTACAAAACCTAACCAAGTCACCAAGTACAAAATTCAGAAGAATAGGGGAAATTTTAGAGCCCATTGGCGCGCCAAAAATCTGTTTGTAATAACTATTCTTGAATAAAAAATAATTAGAATAAAAAAATAAAACCAAGAGAGACAAAAAACTATTTATATTCAATTTACAATGTTGAGAAACAATGTTCGAATTGTTTATTAAACACTGGTAAACTATATTTTTTTGGTAAATTAGTAAATACCTAATGAGACTACATCAAAATTGACTACTATAAACCTACAGGTAATTGATTCTTCTTCTGAAGTTGTTCATTTTTATAGTATCTATGTAAACAATATGCAAGGGTCAGATTCGGTCTGTACAACTATGACAATTTGTTGCGGGTTGCCCAAATATATGACGTTACACTAAAATAGTCTATTCTCTAAGAACCTGTCTACTTGAATGGTAAGTATAAAACTATTTTGAATTATATATTCTTTCAAGTCCATCCCTGGCGCATCATCAAAATTTCCTGTATCTTTTTAATATTATAATTAATTCAACTGGTATGCACTGCAAGAAATAAATAAAGCAAAACTTTTCACCTTGGTGGGGAATTCTGTGCCACATCAGCGAGTCTTTACAAGAGTACAAAAAGGATAATACATCTACGACAGTTTAGTTCGTTAAAGGTAAACCACTTGTTCGATACGCGTAGACGGCGAATAAGTGGAACAAGTGAAGTGCAAATCGTATTTTGTGCGATATCAAGGTATATATGATGAATACCATTTTGGGTAATACTATATTGACTAAAACGCGTTTGAAAGTTCGAAAACGTATTACAAAAATAATTGAACACACGATTATTTGGCAATGCCTGTTCGGACAGCTGTACATACATACATACCTACGAAGTGTGGTAACTGGTGGAGTAGCAAAATGACATCGGCCGCCAAAACACTCCTTTCTACTGCTGTAACTTTATAAAGAAATCGAATTTCAACAAATCCTTGTCGCCACGTATTCTACATGACTTTTTGAGGCGATTTATGAAAAAAAAAATCCATTTTTTTCAACCTGACAAACTAAAAGACCCCCTTAAATGAGTTTTATTAAATTTAAGTATAGTTTCTTAAATGCAGCCAGATATAACTGACAAAGAAATCACGATCCCAGTACCATCTAATATCATGTCAAAATACACGTAATTTGAATTTCAATCCAGTTAAATTACATATTTGCATAAATAGTTAATTAAAAAGAATTAAGGTTATCATTGGAATCCGCAATAAACTTGAGATTGGTAAATAACATCAGTATTCAATTAAAACATATCGAGGGCGTCATTTCAGAACGGCGTAAGAACCACTATAGTCGGTTTTGGGTTTTTAGGGCGTATGACCTCATTTAAGCAATTTGCTTAAATCAGAAGGGCGTATGTATCTATTCATAAACATCAACACTATATTCTAACGCATTTTACTTAGGCGTATAAACCAATTTTGTAAAACAATAATATCGGAAGGGCGCATGAACCGGAAGTCAAATTATATGTTGGCATTTTACTAGATGTTAAATCTCCCCAATGAACTATAATGTATTGGTCTTATTATATTGGCAAAATCAACAAATTCATTCTAAATCGTGATTTCTAAAACGTTTTTCTCATTTCCTGTAAAATTTCAGATTTGGTTCGTAAGCTCTTCTGATACGAATGTAAATTTCAGACCTTAAAATTAGTAAATGAGATGGTAGCAATCTTTTTTGTTAGTCGTAGGACACTTTTTTTAAATTCGTAAAAAAATGTCAGCTTTCAAATGGCCATAATGAATTTCCGATTAAATTTCAATAATAAGAAACAGATCTATATTTTTCGACCCAAAAAAAGAAGTCAATGTTTCGGTAGATTGGCATCGAGCTGGGCTGAAAATTTTTGTCTGAAACATTTTTTTCTAAAATGTTTAATTTTTTTTTAACGAAAAAAACTATTTTTTGTGAACTTTGGACGACATTTTGAAAATGAAACCCTAACTCTGGGGTAAAGTAGTTCATTCAATTTTACGGAATTTTTTCTAATTTTAGCGTATCTTTGTTTACTGAACTCAAAAAATCGAGGTATTTTCGACAATCTGACTGGCCTAAACATAATTAATAGTATCGTGTGAATTGAACGAACGAATATGGAAACTTGCATAACAACATGTTTCAGATGATGCGAAGAGTGGCCTTAATAGTCTGCTACACTTTAGCTCTATTCGCAATAGGTGAGGGAAAAAATGAGGAGAAAGAGAAACATGTAACTGAAAATCCGGTCGTAACTACCCCATTAGGACAAGTAAGAGGTAGTCTTATGACTTCTAGACTGGGAAAAACCATTAACGCTTTCAGAGGTATGCGTTATGCCAAACCACCAGTAGATGAACTAAGATTCCAGGTGAGATTCATAAATTTGAGGTTTAAGTTTAAAAAAGTGCAGATGGTGGAACTTATCGATTTTTAAACCGTCAGCCTCCGGTACCTGTGGAAAAATGGGAGGGAGTCTACGACGCCACCAAAGATGGTTTTATTTGCCCTCAACCGTCTAGAAGCCTTGTGTCGGAAGATTGTTTGATCGTAAATGTTTATTCAACACAGGTTAGTGTTTAAATTATTTTGGAATGTATAAAAAAATATACCTTTATAAGGTGGTGGACGTCTGGGAAATATTTAACTCTGTGTTACAGCTAGAGGTTCAAAATTTTCAAAAAAACTGGACAACGCAAAAAATGTTTTTTTTTCTCAAAACAATTCGGAAAAATTTTTTATTTTTTTTTTAATTCTTAACTAGTCACAATTTACCGAACATACTTTTGTAGCTTCCACATGGTTCTGAAAATCCAAAACGTCCAGTAATCGTCCACATCCACCCTGGAGGATACTACAGTTCAACATCAGTGAGCTACTGGGCAGGGCCCCAATATTACATGGACCAGGACATCGTCTTGGTAACTTTCAACTATCGCTTAGGATCTTTGGGTAATAAATTCGACCAATTAGATATAAAACATAAATGACATAAACGTAACTTTATACATTATTTAGGCTTCTTGAGCACCGGCGACAAAGAAGCACCAGGTAACAATGGTTTGAAAGACCAAGTGTTGGTCTTGAAATGGGTAAAACAAAATATCGAAGCTTTTGGGGGGGACCCGAACAGCGTTACTATTCAGGGGTACAGTGCAGGAAGTCGTAGCGTCATTCTGCATTTGGTTTCGCCAATGTCGCAAGGTACGTTGAAAGGGAACTAACGATTATCTGCCAGTGGTGTTATTAAAACGATTTTCCTAGAATTTAGTTAATTATACAGTGTGTTAGAAGTATGACTGTCATTACTTAAACTTAATATAAGATTAAGACCTCTTTTATGCACGCGTTTTTCTCCTCTCAACGCGAAATTGAGAAAAACGCGGTATATTTCTGCTCCATTTTATGCACGCGTATTTTATCAGTTGTCGCCAGTTTCAGGCCACACAGTAGTCAGTGAAGTACATGAAAATGGATCCGTGTATATTGTATTTGTGCTATAAAAAAATATGTAATAGAAGACGTAAGAGGCGTTGGGCAGTACATCCAATTAATAGAAATAGAATTCAATTGCGTCCATTGCATCCATGTCCCGCTTGATCAATAGCTAAACTAAAACTAAAACAAACTGTGCTAAAACTATTCTTGACAGACAGAGCCACTGGACTTGCGACAAAGAGCGCTTTGCATAAAAACGCCGATATACTGTCGTGCTTTTTCGGAACGCGTGTCGCCAAGCGTTCTGTAAAGCCATCGCGACAGAATTGAAAACGCGAGAGCAAATAAACGAGCGTAAAATGCATAAACGTAGTAACTCTATTCAGGGTATCTTGAAACGCGGCGTTTTTGTCA